AAAACAACATTGGCAAGCCAATCGGGATATTGGACCTCCCGAATGAATTGAGCGCTGACGAGTTTGTTAATCTCTTCGCGAATGACCTCCCGTCGTTCTGGGGCAAACTGTCTTTTCCTCTGTTTTACTGGCCTGGCCCCTGGGCTAATATTAAGCCTATGGACTGCAATTTTGGGGTCTATCCCCGACATATCCTCAACCCTCCAGGCAAAAACGTCGATGTTGCGAGATAAGCAACTAACAAGTTCTGTCTTCAGGGTGACGTCAAGATCCCAACCAATCGTCACCTTCTTATCATGCTCGAGCTCAATTTCCATCAATTCTTCGACAGGAGCGAGTCTGACTTGTTGCCCGTCCTCGGGATCAATCCTCGAGATTTGCATGACGTCGTTATTTATTTCCCGAACACTGGCCACATAGCATTATCTGGCAGCTGTCTGGTCTCCACGGACAACCCCAACGCCATTATTTGTTGGAAACTTCATGGCTAGGTGGAAGGTGGACACAATGGCTTTAATCTTGTTCAAGAGTGGTCTTCCCAGAATTGCGTTATAGGCCATTGAGACACGTACCACTTGAAAAGATGTCATCTCCGTAACCTGTTTTTGGCCGGAACCCAAAGTTAGTGGAAGTTCAACTACGCCTTCTGGAGTGATGACTCCTCCACCAAACCCCTGGAGAGGAGTTTTAACCGCTTTGAGCTGGTGAGATGAGATTCCCATTTTGGCAAAAGCTTCTTGTGAAAGTATATTGGCCGCACTCCCGTTGTCAACCAAGATCCTCTTTACTTCGAAATTGGCCACAATCGCTGAGATTACCAAGGCGTCATCATGTGGAAGTGATACGCCTTCTAAGTCTCCGATCCCAAAAGTAATATCCTCCAGCTTTCCCTGAGGCATACCAGAGGCCAAAGCATATCGTCGGGCATATTGTTTTCTTCCACTGTTGGAGTCTCCTCCCGAGGCAATACCTCCAATGATGATATTGATGGTTCCAGCAGTAGGTTGACCATCCCTTTTTGCCTCAGGGTCTTTTTCCCTGCCACGATCATTCCTCGGGCGTTTGTCGTTACCGACGTAGGAGCTCAGGAGTCCTCTTTTAATAAGGGCTTCAATCTCCCGTTGCAGGGCCTTAAAGTTCTCCGTGGTATGCCCGTGATCCCGATGGAACTCACAGTACTTGTTCATGTCCCTGGATTCGGGTGGGGACCTCATTCTGACTGGCCATTTCAGTTCCTTCATATCCTTGATCTCCATCAATATATTGGTCTTTGACGTATTTAAACGCTTGAACGGCGTCGGGGGAACCTCCTGTCTCTGTTTTTTTCAATGCTATTCTTCACGAGGGTTAGGGTCATGCTGTCTTTTATGCTCGACCCTGTCATGGGATGGTCCAACCTTTCTCGGGTTCAGTGTTTCCTCCATATTTATGTACTTCTCGGCTCGGGTAAGAAGCTCGGTCACTGTCTTTGGCGGAGTTTTGGATAAAGACATCCTGAAGGCCTCACACTTTATGGCATATGTGAGGGCAGAAACCGCTGCAGTTATGTGTAGGTCGGGAATCTGAAGTCTTTCCTTGTTGAACCTGGTCATGAAGTCACGTAGGGTCTCATTTTGCCCCTGTCTAAGTTGCATGAGGGAAGCCGCTGTCTTCCTGATGCGTTTGCTGCTTGCGAAGAACGCGGAGAACTTGTCCGCCAAATCCGAGAATGAGGCTATGGAGTTGGACTCTAAGGTTGAGAACCAATCCCTAGCGGCATTCGTCAAGGTTTGCGGGAAGGCCTTGCACATCACCTGATCTGGTGCGACCTGTAAATTCATGACGTCCGTGTATATGTTCAGATGATTGATTGGATCGGTGGTCCCATCATACTCTTTGATCCTAGGATACTTAAATCTGTCCGGCAAGGGGAATGTTAATATCTCGGGAGTAAATGGAGTATTGGGACTGAATCTTGTCGTCCCTTTGTTGTCCTGAAGTAGGCCCGCCGCAATTCCTTCTTGAATAATCCTAGCGAGTTCCCCGGACTCCATGATCACTGATCTCGAGGCCGAGGTCACATGTGGTATACCCGAGGCCCCTGCTCCGCCATTGTCAGGGACATGAGCTCGAGCTCGAAGCTCTTCAAAGGCTCCAGCAGTGAAGACTGTCGGCTGGGGTTCTGGCACTTCTGATGATTCATCTTGAGGGATAGGGATATCCTCAGGAGGGGGTTGGTTTGGAGCGGATGAGCTTGCGGGTGGAAGACCTGATCGTGTGTTTACCATGGCTTTTGGTAGCGGTTCCCACAGACGGCGCCAATGATGCTACCAAAAATCGTACCTGTAGATTTCTCGAGCTTGATGACTGATTATGAGCACGAACGTGATCTTTCGATACCTGAAACAAAGGCAACGAGGTGTATTCTCATCGCCCCTCCGATGCTTAAGTCAGAAAGGAAAATATATGCGTGAGGCTATGTGCTGAAGAACAATGTAAAACGTACCTGAATA